TCTTCCCCCTGCCTCCCCTTTGTGAACCTGCTTCTTCCCCCTGCCTCCCCTTTGTGAACCTGCTTCTTCCCCCTGCCTCCCCTTTGTGAACCTGCTTCTTCCCCCTGCCTCCCCTTTGTGAACCTGCTTTTCCCCCTGCCTCCCCTTTGTTAACCTGCTTCTTCCCCTGCCTCCCCTTTGTGAACCTGCTTCTTCCCCCTGCCTCCCCTTTGTGAACCTGCTTCTTCCCCCTGCCTCCCCTTTGTGAACCTGCTTCTTCCCCCTGCCTCCCCTTTGTTAACCTGCTTCTTCCCCCTGCCTCCCCTTTGTGAACCTGCTTCTTCCCCCTGCCTCCCCTTTGTTAACCTGCTTCTTCCCCCTGCCTCCCCTTTGTGAACCTGCTTCTTCCCCCTGCCTCCCCTTTGTTAACCTGCTTCTTCCCCCTGCCTCCCCTTTGTGAACCTGCTTCTTCCCCCTGCCTCCCCTTTGTTAACCTGCTTCTTCCCCCTGCCTCCCCTTTGTGAACCTGCTTCTTCCCCCTGCCTCCCTTTGTTTAACCTGCTTCTTCCCCCTGCCTCCCCTTTGTGAACCTGCTTCTTCCCCCTGCCTCCCCTTTGTGAACCTGCTTCTTCCCCTGCCTCCCCTTTGTTAACCTGCTTCTTCCCCCTGCCTCCCCTTTGTGAACCTGCTTCTTCCCCCTGCCTCCCCTTTGTGAACCTGCTTCTTCCCCCTGCCTCCCCTTTGTGAACCTGCTTCTTCCCCCTGCCTCCCCTTTGTGAACCTGCTTCTTCCCCCTGCCTCCCCTTTGTTAACCTGCTCTTCTTCCCCTGCCTCCCCTTTGTGAACCTGCTTCTTCCCCCTGCCTCCCCTTTGTGAACCTGCTTCTTCCCCCTGCCTCCCCTTTGTTAACCTGCTTCTTCCCCCTGCCTCCCCTTTGTGAACCTGCTTCTTCCCCCTGCCTCCCCTTTGTGTGAACCTGCTTCTTCCCCTGCCTCCCCTTTGTGAACCTGCTTCTTCCCCCTGCCTCCCCTTTGTGAACCTGCTTCTTCCCCCTGCCTCCCCTTTGTTTAACCTGCTTCTTCCCCCTGCCTCCCCTTTGTGAACACCTGCTTCTTCCCCCTGCCTCCCCTTTGTGAACCTGCTTCTTCCCCCTGCCTCCCCTTTGTGTAAACCTGCTTCTTCCCCCTGCCTCCCCTTTGTGAACCTGCTTCTTCCCCCTGCCTCCCCTTTGTGAACCTGCTTCTTCCCCCTGCCTCCCCTTTGTGAACCTGCTTCTTCCCCCTGCCTCCCCTTTGTTAACCTGCTTCTTCCCCCTGCCTCCCCTTTGTTAACCTGCTTTCTTCCCCTGCCTCCCCTTTGTTGAACCTGCTTCTTCCCCCTGCCTCCCCTTTGTGAACCTGCTTCTTCCCCCTGCCTCCCCTTTGTGAACCTGCTTCTTCCCCCTGCCTCCCCTTTGTGAACCTGCTTCTTCCCCCCTGCCTCCCCTTTGTGAACCTGCTTCTTTCCCCCTGTCCTGCCCCTTTGTTAACCTGCCCTCTTCCCCTGCCTCCCCTTTGTGAACCTGCTTCTTCCCCCTGCCTCCCCTTTGTGAACCTGCTTCTTCCCCCTGCCTCCCCTTTGTGAACCTGCTTCTTCCCCCTGCCTCCCCTTTGTGAACCTGCTTCTTCCCCCTGCCTCCCCTTGTGAACCTGCTTCTTCCCCCTGCCTCCCCTTTGTTAACTGCTGCTTCTTCCCCCTGCCTCCCCTTTGTGAACCTGCTTCTTCCCCCTGCCTCCCCTTTGTTAACCTGCTTCTTCCCCTGCCTCCCCTTTGTGAACCTGCTTCTTCCCCCTGCCTCCCCTTTGTTAACCTGCTTCTTCCCCCTGCCTCCCCTTTGTGAACCTGCTTCTTCCCCCTGCCTCCCCTTTGTTAACCTGCTTCTTCCCCCTGCCTCCCCTTTGTGAACCTGCTTCTTCCCCTGCCTCCCCTTTGTTAACCTGCTTCTTCCCCCTGCCTCCCCTTTGTTAACCTGCTTCTTCCCCTGCTCTCCCCCTTTGTTAACCTGCTTCTTCCCCCTGCCTCCCTTTTGTTAACCTGCTTCTTCCCCCTGCCTCCCCGCTCCGTTTTTTTTCCCCGCCTGCCCCTTCCCCACCACCCCTACAGCAGCCCCCAGACCCCATAGGCATGGGGTTGGCGCAGGAGGCAGGGGTGGAGGCGGCAGGGGAGGACTGTTTGGTGCCCGGGCTGAAGCGGCCCGTCATTGTCATGGGCGTGCAGGTGGGTGCAGAGCGGTGGAGATGGGTGGAGGTGGGTGCTATTGGCGTACAGGTGGGTGCAGATGGGCGTGCAGGTGGGTGCTATGGAGGCTTATTGTTGCAGATGCAGGAGGCAGGGTGGAGGCGGCAGGGGAGGGCTGTCTGGTGCCGGGGCTGAAGCGGCCCGTCATTGTCATGGGCGTGCAGGTGGGTGGAGAGCGGTGGAAATAGGTGGTACAGGCGTGCATGTGGGTGCTCTAGAGCCGTATTGCTGCTGATGCAGGAGGCAGGGGTGGAGGCGGAGCAGGGAGGACTGCTTGGTGCGGGGCTCAAGCGGCCTGTCATTGTCATGGGTGTGCAGATGGGTGGAGATGGGTGGAGATGGGCGTCCAGGTGTGTGGAGATGGTTGTTATTCCAGGTTTGGCCACTTTACGGTGACACAACACAACCCACTTTCCTGGAAAGCCTTCATCAGCATCCTTTCCTTGTCGTCTCCCTCGCTTTTCTTTCCCCCGCCCCCTCTGACACTCCGAGTGTGGCCGCTGGAATCAACAGCCCTCTCTCTTTTGGAAGGCCATGGAGCCCCCATCCATGACTACCTGCATCCTCCTTCTCCCCTTCTCACCCCTCCTCGCCCCTTCAGGTGTGGCCGCTGGAGATCAACAGCCCACTCTCCTGGAAGGCCATTGAGCCCATGGCCCGAGAGCTCAAGACCGTGTCCAAGGTAGGGTGGGTTGGGGTGGAGTGGGGTGGGGTGGGGTGGGTGGGGTGTGCTGGGGATGGGAGGACTGGGCCACTGGAGGTCAACAAGCCCGCTCTCCTGGAAGGCCATCGAGCCCATGGCGCAAGACCGTGTCCAAGGTAGGGTGGGGTGGGTGACTTTTGAGATGTCTCAAAAGACCGTGTCCAAAGTAGGGTGGGGTGGGTGGGGTGGGTGGGGGTGGGGTGGGGTGGGGTGGGGTGGGTGGCAGGGTGGGGAAGGGGATGAGGAGTGGGGTTTTTCCGAGTCAACCAGAAGGTACCATCGACCGAGAGCTCAAGAACGTGTCCAAGGTAGGGTGGGATGGGGTGGGGGGTGGGAGGGGGCTTAATCAACGCCCCTCTTTCACTCGCCTTCCTCTCCCCTCTCTCTATGGTCACTTTCTGCTCCTCCCCATCAACCCCCCCTTCCCCCCCCTCCCCTGGATTTCCTACTCTGTGCCTGTGCAGCTTGCCGAGAGAGCCATAGACCGCCCCTCATGAACGCCCCTCTTTCACTCACCTCCTCGCCTCTCTGTGTCTCTGCTGCTCCTGCCCCCCCCTTGATCTCCTCTGTGCCTGTGCAGCTTGCCGAGAAAGCCATTGACCGCCCCTCATAAACGCCCCTCATAAACGCCCCTCTTGGCGGCTGATGTCTCAATTCAACTTAAAAGTCAACTCCCCCCCTCTCTCCCCCTCTTCTTCCTCCCCTCCCCCCCCCTCCCCTTTATTCTACTGGTGCCTGTGCAGCTTGCCGAGAAAGCCATTGACCCTTTGCGGTTGCGGCCCCTCATGAACGCCCCTCTTGTCCGCTGATGTCTCAATCAGACTCCTGAGTCGACTTAAAGTCACCCCCCCCTTTTCCCGCCTTTCCCCCTCTCCCCTTCCCCCATTGATCTCCTCTGTGCCTGTGCAGCTTGCAGAGAAAGCCATTGACCTCATGAACGCCCCCCTTTCACTCGCCTCCTCTCCCCTCTCTCTGTGTCTCTCCTGCTCCTCCCCATCAACTCCCCCTCCTTCCCCCTTCCCCCCATGATCTCCTTGGTGCCTGTGCAGCTTGCCGAGAAAGCCATTGACCTCATGAACGCCCCTCTTGTCCGCTGATGGCTCAATCCGACCTCAAAAGTCAACCCCCCCCCCCCCCAACCCCTTTCTCACCCTCCCCTCCCCCCTTATTTATCCGGTGCCTGTGCAGCTTGCCGAGAAAGCCATTTACCTTACGAACACGCCGCTTTCACTCACCTCCTCTCCTCTCTCTATGTCTCTTCTGCTCCTCCCCATCAACCCCTCCCCTCCTCCCCCATTGATCTCTGTGTCTGCAGCTTGCTGAGAAAGCCATAGACCTCATGAACGCCCCTCTTGGCCGCTGATGCCTATGCAAGGGCCAGCGATAGTAGCAGGTTCTTCCAGGTAGCAGCATACAAAAAATAGTTTTACTGAGTTCCGTCCGTCTATGCACAAGCAGTCTGACTACGCCACACTGCCTTCCTTCCTGCTTAGAAGATGGTGGGTCTGCGGTGCTGCAAACTCTGCGCCAAAGTAACGCTCACGAGTCACAACATGGTACCAGTAGTAGAAGGGTAGGCAGCAAAACAATCAGATGAGTAGATGAAGGAGCAACCTGAAACGCTTGCTGTATGTCAGCTGCTCTGCTGCTCCATATTGATAGTTTCAACAATAAAACGCTGCTTGATAGGTGTGTAGTGATAGAAACAAGCATGACTGTCTATCACTACTGACTCCTGGAATGTGCTGTACCATTTTCCAGCTACCGTTTTACCATCCTTGCAACCATTGGGATCACTCAACCACTGACGCCATGGTTGGACTAGAGGGGCTGTGTATCCAGGGCGTAGGAGTCTTGTTCGCAAGGCGCACAGAAAGAGGTGCGGGTTATATCATTAGTGATTCTTTTGTACAATCATAACTGATGACAACGCTAACTGGAAACTACGGTAAATGCTACAACTTCCACATGCCTAATTTTTTTCTGGCTAGCCGCCGAAGCCGTACAGTGTTCTGCCTTGGCGTTTCAAGGCATAAACAACATCCATGGCGGTGACCGTCTTTCTCCGCGCGTGCTCCGTGTATGTCACAGCGTCACGAATGACATTCTCGAGGAACACCTTGAGCACACCGCGAGTCTCTTCGTAGATTAGACCGCTGATACGCTTGACGCCGCCGCGGCGAGCGAGACGCCTGATAGCCGGCTTGGTGATGCCCTGAATGTTGTCGCGAAGAACCTTCCTGTGACGCTTCGCGCCCCCCTTTCCTAGGCCCTTGCCTCCCTTGCCGCGTCCCGACATGATGACTGACGAACTTTAACCGCACACGAAGATACGACTGGGAAGTCTTCAAGAATAGCTGAAACTGAAAGCGAGACGCAGATGGAGCTCAATCAGTCTTGAGGTCAAAGATATGTGCAGCTCCGCAACGAAGTCTTGAAAAATAGTTGTATTATGTTGTCTCTCTTCAATCTCGAAAACCAAAGGCAAACTGAAACTATGAATTTGATAAGGAACTGGAACTAAAGACTTGGAGAGGAACTGGAACCATGGAAATCAGGATCCATTCAGAGCCCCTTTATTCAGAGCATCCTGGCTGGACTAATTGGGGTCAGACCAATGGAGAGCAGCGATGGATGGGGCACTGGTTGGTGTGGTGCGTTCTGATGTGGTGTGGTATGGTGTGGTGGGGGGGTCGCCTAGTCCAGTGCCTGTGGTGTTCTCGCATCTCATGTTTGGTGGTGTTGGCGATGGATTGACGTGTTGTTTGGTGAAGTTGGCGTTTCTTGGTCGTCGATGAGGAATTTGGGGACAGTCATATCAACGGCGAACCCTGATCTGCGTCGATCCCGAAATGTTGCAAATGCGATTTGTGATTGGCTTACAACCAGGGTAGACTGCAGTGACTTTCACCCGACGAATCAATGTTCGCAAAGTTACCACACCTTGCACGACCGCAAGCACTACGCCGTTGAATTGGATCAGATGATCTGAAATTGAGCGGAAGCAGAAACCCAGCTGGAAGTGCTTTTGACGGTTCAGCGAGTTACACGTTTTTCCATCGACGGTGTAATTTGAAGGCTTCGATCTGACGCCCAGCGGTCTATTGGCTAATTTTTGAAACAACAAACCACAACAGTTTCTGTATTGCAACAAATGCCGAGAACCCGCACCACCATGCACGCAACTCCAGCCACGGACCCTCTTCCCCAACACAGCCATATCTGTTGAAATAGGTTTGTGTGGCAACAGACTTCTGTATCAGAAGCGTCCGTTCTCGCATTTCGTCACTTCGTTAGTTTCCTTATCCGACGCCCTTGACAACAACGCTTTTCAGTGCTTCCTCTTACTGTCACTTTCCAAGACCCTCTTTCCGTTGAGCTACTTGTTTGTTGAGAAACGCTGTGTTACGATGGCGCCAAAGGTAGAAGGAGAGCAGAAGGCGGCGAAGAAGGGACCCAAGAAGGAGCCCGCCGCTAAGAAAGCCATTCCCGCGGGGAAAAAGCCCATCGGTGACAAGAAAGAGAAGAAAAAGGCTCGCAAGGCCGTAACCGAAACGTACAAGATCTACATCTACAAGGTGCTGAAGCAGGTGCATCCAGACACGGGGATATCGTCCAAGGCCATGTCGATCATGAATTCTTTTATAAATGATATTTTTGAGAAGCTCGCGACGGAGGCGTCGAAGCTCGCGCGGTACAACAAGAAGCCGACGATCACGTCTCGCGAGATTCAGACGGCTGTTCGGCTGACTCTGCCTGGAGAGCTTGCGAAGCACGCTGTTTCCGAGGGAACAAAAGCCGTGACCAAGTTCACTAGTGCATAGGCTCAGTTCCGTTGACATACTAATTTTTGCTTTGTAACAATGTTGATAATAGACGAATAATTCTTCTGAAGCTCCATGATATGTGCATTGTACATTCTCACTTTCGCCTGCTGCCCCTTTCCTCCGTCCCCTCATTTGAGGCGCCTTGACAACACCGGCTCTCTTTTCCTCTATCCCCTGGCCAAACCATAATTTCAATGAGTGTTAGGTAGTTTCTTTAGGCTAGACGTAGGCTTTAGTGAGTATGGACTAATCGGTAAACTAATCGGTGGGCCCTACAAAAACGGTCCTAGAACAGGAACTGCTTTGAAACCATGTTTGAATCTAGACGAGGGAATGATTGCATTGAGAATAAAGTTGGTACAAGTACTAACCATAATTAGGTTGTACCCCTTATGGGCTACCCAGTCTACACAATATAAACATTATAACAGAGAGAAATAAACGAGAGAGGAGAGAGAGGAGGGCGGCTGGTGCTGAAACTTCACTCCTGTCACCCCCTCACCCCACCCCCCCCCCCCCCAGTGGCAGCGTAAGGAAAAGCACACAGGAGGAGGAGGCGGCTGGCGCTGCCACCCCCTCATCCCCCCTCATCCCCCCCCCCCCCCCCCACGGTGGAAGCCGCGGCAGGGAGGGGGGGCAGTGCGCGCTGCTGCGCCTGGCCGCGCAGTGGTGGCGTGGGGCGCGCTGGCGACCGTCGGCGGGGCTGGCGCACGCGCTGGTGACCTTCGTTGGGGTTGGCGCACGCTCTGGCGACCATCGCCGGGGCTGGCGCACGATTTGGCAACCGTCGTCAGGGCTGGCGCTGGCGCTGGCGACCGTCGCCCGCGACCTTGTGCGTCTGCGCGTGGCTGCGCACGGCTGCAGGCAGCTTTGCGCGGCTTCGCGTGGCTGCGCGCGCATGGCGATGGGATGGGACGGGTACGGGGAAGCCAGCGCGTGCCGTGCAAACGGGCAGAGCGACGGGTGGGCCCATGATTCTTTAAAGAATAGTAGCTAGAGGGTGGGACTAGGAGCCATCTGTCATAAGCGTAGGCTAAAGTGATGTCGACTATCGAGGGGGTTGGTACAAAGAAAATGAACCTAAGGGGTTGTACCCCACAGTGTGTACCCCACTAAGCCTACCCAAACTATAACATAGATATACATATGTTTGACACACCCCCATAGGCAGAGTGGGGGAGAACAGAGGGTCACAAGACCAGTCAGGAAGTGCAAAGCAAGCTCAGGGTGGATCACAACGTCACCACGCAGTCTGAGCACAAGCAAGAAGGCCACAAGGCCAGTTCACATGCAGAGATATATATGTAACAACAACAGTACAGTGAAATCTACCTACAAGAACAAGCATGCAGGAATACATATAAATCATGGTACAAACAAAGCCTACAGCAAGTGAGGAAGCGTGGGCACAAGGCCTAACAAAGTGCAGAAACGCTAATGATCACCAGGCGGAAGTGCCTTGGTGAATATATCAGCAGTGTTGGCCCGAGTGGCCACGTAGGTAAGACGAAGCTGGCCACGCTGCTGCAGCTCTCGAGCAAGAAAGTAACGGAGAGCGATGTGCTTCGTTCTGTGCTCCAGTCTGTGCTCCTGACACAAGGCAATGGCGGCCTTGTTGTCGACGTACAGCACTGGAGGAGAACGAGGCCGCTCTCCCAAGTCAGTCAGCAGGTAGGTGAGCCAGCGAAGCTCCTGTGCAGCCATGGCTGTGGCGTAGATCTCAGCCTCACAACTGGAGCCGAGAACTGAAGACGAGCGTGTAGAACGCCAGGAAACTGAACAAGAGCCAAGGCTGAAGGTGTAACCCTGTGACGACCGCTGCGTAGCCTGTTCGTCAACCCAAGAGGCGTCCGAGTGACCAGTGAGGACAACGTCACCCCGTCCTCCAAGCACGAGCCCCATGCCCGATGTACTGCACAAGTAGCGTAGTACCCTCTTGGCAGCATCCATGTGCACCTTTCGGTGCCGACCAGGAGCCACGTAGCGAGCCAGAAGGCCAAGAGGGTACGCAAGGTCAGGACGAGTGCAATTCATCAGGTACATGAGGCAGCCTACTAACTCTGGGTAAGGACCACTCGGCTCTACGGACTCGTCTGAAGGTGGAGCTGAGAGCGAGTGACCTGTAGCCAGAGGAGTGGCCAGTGCTGAGGACCAGGTGAAACCGAAGCGCTGAAGGACCTGCTGCACCATGTGTGACTGAGTCAGTGTGATGGTGCGGCGTGCTCTGTCCCGGGTGATCTGCAAGCCAAGGTAGCTGCGCAGTTCACCCAGGTCTGTACACGTGTGTCTCTTCTGCAGCTCCGACTTCACCAGGGCGAGAGCCTCAGTGTCAGCAGTGGCAAAGACCAAGTCGTCGACGTACACGAGAACGTAGAACGGCGGCAGCGAAGTGTCGGTACGCAAAAACAGCGACGGGTCAGCAGTCGACGGAGCAAACCCAAGAGCCGCAAGTGTCGTCCTCAGTGTGTCGTGCCACTCACGTGGCGCCTGGCGGAGACCGTAGACCGGCCGCCGGAGGCTCCACTGGGTACCAGGA